AATTTTTCCCCTTCCATCAGTGGGGGAAAAACCTCCATCTCCATAGCATCACAGAAGGTTTTCAGAGCTTCGGCAGCTTTTTTACCGTACTCCTCAACCTCCTGCTGCTTCTCTTCAGCTGCTGCCTGCTTCAGCTTAGCAAGCTTTAGCTCTTCCTCGGCTACCCTTTGATCGTGCTCGGCAGCGTCCACCCTATCTTGTAGGGAATCTATCAGCTCTACAGTGAGAGTCTGATTGTGCACGAACTGAAAACAGGGGCACAAGTTAAAAAAGTAAAAAATAATAGCTGAAAGGTTGAGTTCAGAAAGAAATCAAGGCAAGGAAAATTACCTGCATCATCAGCAGTTGGTTAGACCTGGCTGGGTCAGGAACTGATCTACTGGATTCGCCCATCCCAGCAGTGGCCTTCAGCGACCAGATCCTTGCCCTGTCTACTTCGGACATGCCAGCAAAATTGCCGAAGTAGGCTGCAGCTCCTTCTCGGTTTTGACCCCATATGAGGTCCCAGATGTGATCTGGGATTGGAATTCGGGGGGCCGAGAAACCCATTTCTCCAGAATGCAGAGTCTGGAAAGAAGGGAAGGACGACGATGGAGCTTGATTAGCTTTGGTTGTCTCAGCATCGTCCTTCTCAGAGGAGTCAAGTACTATGACCTCCTCTTCTTCAGGGGTGAGGACGAAAGCCTCAACCTCTCTTGCGATATCTGCCGTGAAGCCTTCAGCACTTGACATCACGGCATCTTTATTTCCGTGCTCAGCAGCACTCTCCTTGATTTCTTCTTGGACCCCTCCCTTAGGTCCGGGAGTTCTCTGATCCACCTCCATCTCAGGAGGTGGTGGAGGGGTCTTTTGAGGAGATTGGGGTGTTGGCTGGGGAACCCTCGGCGATCCATTGCCTTCCTCAGGTTCCCTTATTGCGACGCCGATGGTCATCGGCCTCTGCTGAAAATCATGAGGGCCGATGATGGCCATCCTTCGGCGCCTTTTCAGAAGGGGCTGCTCGTCCATATCTGAATCTGAAGACTCTTGTATTTGATCTTCGGGACGAACAGGAGCTTTGCCTTCTCTGTGTCTGTTACTCTCTTCAGACTGTAACAGACAGGGGGGAAGAAGAGTGTGAGTAAAAAAAAAAAAAAGAAAAGAAAAGAAAAAAGTTGTCTAAAAACTCACCGAGGTCTTCAGCAAAGCCTCGTCTTCTTCAGCTGCTCTAGCTGCAGCTTCGGCTTCAGCAGCTCTGGAGGACCCTTCTCCTCCTTCACAAGCCTCAAGTACCCGTGCAACCTCTTCGGCTGTACGGGCAGCTTCAGCTTCTTCTTCCAGCAGCTGAAACAAGGGATCCCTCTTCTTCCACCAAGGCTTCTGCCTCTGATACAGAGCAACAGCCTCAATTTGGAAGTGGGAAGAGTCTAGGTGAACCTCTCGGCGCCTTGGTTCAGTGATAGGGGGAGCCCGATCAGTTACGACTCGTTCTCGGTTGACGCCAAGGCGAGCGTAATCAATGCCGATGTTGGTCTCGTCCCGTTCTGAAAAAGAAAAGGGGAGAAGTCAATTCAGTTAGTTCGGCACATCACAAGAAAGCAAAATGAAAGAAGAAAAGAGATAATTAAAAGGCCTCGGCCCCAGCCGAAGAAGATTACCATCCCTAAACTTTCGGCTGAGGCCGACAGCTGCCAGCATATTCTCTTGGAAAACATAGTGCGTATCGGGGAGCCAAGTCTCCGGGATATGCTGCATTCGGCCGCTGCCTCCCCGGTTCGGCAGCTTGCCGAAGATGTTCTGCTGATTAAGGTTCGGGTCTGGCCCGCTATCTTCGGGAGGACCTAAACTTCCCATATCAGGATCCGGCTCGGCAAGATACCGGGGAGCGCTGAAAACATAAGGATGGCTCGGCTCCGTGGGCGCCCTAACCCAAATCCATTGACCTCTCCAGTCCTTGTCTGAAGAGTCGTTCGGCCACATGGTTAGGAACGGGGGCCGAGACTCAATCCGATACCACCCAGAACCATGGCTTCCGTGCCCACTCTGAATATTTGGCACTAGCCGATGGAGCTTTCTGAAGCAGTGCAGGTTCGGCACGTATCTGAAGAATTTGCAGACCCATAAGTACGTCATTACCCTTCGGATGCTGGTGGGGGTCAGCTGGCACAGGGAAATGTTGTAATGGATCAGCAAGTCTCGGACGAATACGTCCAAAGGGAACCTCAGCCCATACTGAAGCTGTCTCGTGTACACCCCCACATACCCCGGGGGTGGACGATGGATTCTATCGGATGCTGAGGGCATTCGGCACCAATATCCATCAGCTTCAAAAATGCCGTAGTGCAACTCAATTTGCTCAGCAAATCGATATTGATCGGCGTTCTCTACCCACCATGAGTAGGGACGGTTCTTTATCATGGCCGAAGCTACTTCGGCATCCTCCCACTCTGAAAACCCTGGGAGGATATCCCAAAGGACAGCGGGAACTTCACCATCCCGTCCTGAAGCTCTCACCCCCTCAGCCCTCTGAGGAGGAGCCGAAGAAATGGGAGTCGCCCTAACCCCTTCAGCAGGGTCAGACTCTGTCCTTCGTCCATTCCAGGTCCCAATCCTGACCCTGGGATCGGGGATTAGCCTTGCTCTTCTTGGAGCACGGGCTCCACCTCTAACTCCCCTCACCATTGACGAATTTCGAAGGAAAAAGTCGAAAAAGGGGAAAGAGTGCAAAGTCGAAGAAAGATGAAATAAAATCAAAGGAATTTACCTTGATCTGAAGCAAAAGCCGCCGATTTACGAATTGGTAATGACAAGTCTCAGCTTCTAAGCTTAATGCTCGGGGAATTTGCGAAGTTTTGATGCGGGCTCTTGAGCGTTCTTGAGAATTCTGGGTTTGTGTTGATGAGTGAGTGGGGAGAGAAGACGCGCCTCTATTTATATCTCCAGAAATGGGAATTCAAGGAGTCTGCGTTTCAATTTCTCTCAAGCACCCCACTAAGTAACCGTTAAACACACAACCTTGCAGTTAAATCGCCCACTACCCGTCCAACTTCCGCAATCATCCACATTAACTGTTGTTATCTCATTAATCATGGGTTAATTACGGTTTAAATTCACATTTTTGGATCAGCAAATCATTCACTTCCCTCCTTTTCTGGTTAAATCAAACCCGACCCGTCATCCTTCCAAATCGGGTCTGGGGGGCAAGTTGTTTGGGTCCAATTTAGTCCAATTGGGCCTGGTCACTGAATGATCCAATTAAAAGCCCAAGGCAAAGGTTCAACTCTCCACATATGCTAAAGTCAAAAATCAACATCCTCAAAGCCATGTCAAGGTCAGTCAACGGCCCAATCAGCTTGGCCCAGCCCAACTGATTTCCGGGCCCAATCCGCCTCCTTCATTAGCCAAGGTATAAAAGCCAACAATTTGGTCAATTCTTGGTAAGTGGAAGACAAAGACAAAAAAGACAAAGACAAAGACAATAAGCCTCAAGCAACTAAACTCTTGCACAGCTTTCTCTCTCTAATATACTGACTTAAGCATCGGAGGGGCCTTCCTCGGCGTCCCCCCCGAGGCTAGTTTACGTGTATTTGTTGTGCAGGAAACCCTCGGCTCCGGCGTCGTTCGGACCGAGACCAAGTTCCCTCAAGATAAAAGGATCTTCCGAGATTCGATTGTTTTCATCCGAAACACTCGTTATTAATCTTCAATATTTCTTCAATATTTTAATAAATAGTTTTGCTAAACTAGCCACTTTAGTGATTAAAATATCTCGATTTATATATTCAAATAAGAGGGTTTGTCCAAAAATTCCAAGTCGGCACTAGAATTTTTCATGCTAAACAAGTCATACAATTTGCTACTTGGAGCCCACAAATTAAAGGCAATTAAACTACTGATATTCTCCCTTTACATTCTGTCTCATGCACAAACGTTCAAAAAGACACCACAAACATCAATTTATCATCTGTCACTATCATTTGAGTAATGCTTATTCTTTCTTTTTATTGCATTTGATTTTTGCCAAAAGTAAGCCCTTGTAATTTTGCAAATGCAAATACATATCAATAAAAATCCTATATAAAGCCTACAATTATTCTACGCAATACCTGTTTTTGATGTTATGGTAGTTTTGCTCTACTTATTATTAGAAGTGTTATGATTAAAATGCTAGATTATCATAAGTAGCCATATTAACTTTTTAGTGATAACAAACAAAACTTGATTTGTCATAAATTTTGAATTAATTAATAGCATTATGGAATATGTATAGATATCTTATAACCAAATTGAATCATCTACTACGAAGACACGGAGTACTATATATGTAAAGGTGGTGGTTAGACCTAACAAATTAACTTGCATCTGAATTTTCCACTCAAATCCTTTAACCGAATTCATATTATATATGAAATTATGTGGTTCAATTTAGATTCGAGTCAAAAGTTAAAATAATTAATATTGGTTATTTTAACGCTATTATTAGCTAAATAATATTTTTAATTTTATAGAATTAGACGCAAATAGACCCAAACTGACATATAACTCAAGTGGCCAATCTAAATTATTCATCAATCAAATATGACTGAACCAATGTGTTGATCAAATGGCTAGTTTACCAATCTAAGTGTACCGTTTTGCTTAAAGAACGTGAGAGCCAGAACTCTTTCAAAGACAACTTCAACTACTTCTGCTAATTAGACAAAAATTCATGCATTAAAACTTATTCTATTTCAGGTGGACACCCTTTCATAATTTAGATGAAGGTAAAGAGAGTACATTATTAACTTCTAATTGTAACTTTCAAGACAATCTTGCTTTAGCAAAATATATTTCATGTCATTATCAATCATACATATGTCAAGACCACTAATGTAATTATGTTGCCTTAGATTAGAAGCAATGTCTATAATAAACATTCAAGGAAAGCAACTTTGATATCTTAACTTTGATTACGAAAACTAAAAACATCATATTTCCGTTCCATTTTATTTGTCACAAACCATTATTTTGGCACCTGTTCATGAAAAAAAAGGAGAAATAAACAATAATGTTAAAATAGGCCAAACTTCAATTCAATACAATACTCTCTTAATTACTTTTACAAAATCCCAAATAACTAGAAAAATCAACATAAAAATTTAATGAAAATTAAAAATAAATAACTGCCCATGTCACAATCCATCTACTAAAACAACCTATAATCTTCAACCATTTAGGACATCAAGACTTTTATCCTTAATTGGAATCAGATTTTCTCTAACTAATCTTCATGAAATTGGAAATTTTTTTTTGTTTTCAATTTTTTTTACAGATTGATTTTGAGGGCCCAAAGAATACAAAAAACTAGCTGTACAAGGGACTTCTTCCTACCAAAAAAACAAATAATTGAACCATTTTAATCTAATAGATGATAATAATGATGATTAACACACTAAAATGAAATTAAATTAGACTTGTAAATGAGGAAGTCAGCATGTAAGGCAAGTTAGCTAACGGCCCTCGTTGGTCTGCTAGTTCATGTAGATCCCTAACAATCTCAAACACAGCCTCTGGTTTCGCCAACTTCAGGGCATTTTCCGACATCTTCTTAAGCTCATCGCGCTTGGTGCTGAACCATTCTGCGACTATTCTTGCTGTTTCTTTAGGACTACGCGTGAATACACCCGCACCAGTCTCTACTACATACGGTACATTGCCTTTCTCCTGAAGTCAACATAAAAAAAAAAAAAGGGGTTAGATGTTAGCATTGAGCTATGAAATGCATGCAATACATCATGCATGATAAGATCACAAGAGAGTAAGATCTTTTTCTTTTTTTGGATGATTGGTGCATATAATGTTTGAACTTTGTATGAAATTTCGAGGTTTTAAGCCTATTGTATAAGGGTTTTCCTCGTTTAGGTTTGGAGTCGTGTCAGTTTTTGACAGGTCTACATGAACGAACAATCAATGAGATGTAAGCCAATGTATAAACTCACTTGTCCGGGAATGTAATCATTAAGAATGATTGGAAGACCCCTGATCATTGCCTCTGCTATCGTCCCTGGTCCTGCCTGTTAAAAACCGAAACCATTCAACTTAAGTCCGGTTTTAGGCTTTATGATAATGCACAACAGCACAAGCAGGGGAAAATTGTTGAGTAATAGATGTTTTAAGGTTTACCTTTGTTATAATGCAATCACAAGCTCCCATCCACTTCTCCATCTGTTTCTCAAACCCTCTAACCTATAAATCAAAATGCATTGTTATTCGATGAAACATATTATATTGTTAAGGTTAAGGTAGATTATATTGTTAAGGTTAAGGCAAGTTACCTTGACCGGGATTTTCCATTCCAACGATTCAAGAGTAGAAGCTAAGGACCTATTACGGCCACATATAATGATCAATTGACCGATGGGTTTCCCAAGTTGTTTATCGAACAAGGACTCTCCAAGAGCCTTGGCAGTCTTTTGTACAGGACCCATCCCTTCACCACCTCCCATTAGTAGAACCGCGGGCAAATTTGGGTCCATCTCAAGCTCTACTCTCAAGTCATCCTGCAAAGCAGTTCTGTTAGTATCTGTTAAGCCTAGATCTTCATATAAACAAACACGCATAACACGTGCAGAATTTCTTTAGCACGAGCACAATGCTGCAGCTCAGTGATGTCACCATATATGTGCTCACCTTTGAGAGAATTGCACGAGCAAAAGAAGGCCTAACAGGCAAGCCAAAAACTCGGATTTGAGAGTCATCAAGGCCGTCTAATGAAGCCCTTTTTGCAACCTCCTCTGAGGGACAATAGCATCTATTGACTCCAGGATGAAACCTGAGAAAATATTTTGTTTCTGAATATTAAAATCAATCTAAAACAAAGGCAAGTAAGTTCTGATTTCGAGTGATCAATGCTGATTGCCACTTACCAAGTTCGATGACACGAGTTGAGATCAGTAATAACAGTTACAAAGATCACTTTCTTCTGTAGTCCTTGCCATTTCAAAACCCACAAGGGAATATGTTGCATAAGAGGATGAACACTAATTATTATATCCGGCTTGTATTCCATTAAACCAGCCTCTACTTCCCTTCATCCACAAAAAATTTCCATCATTAGCCGTTTATACCGTGTATTGGTAATAATTCAAGCAAGTCTATTCACAACATCAGTTATGCACTTATCATAGGGCAAAATGCCCCTTAAACGAGCAAATCGTAGCTAGACTTGATTATGGGAATTACTAATAGTTGACTAATTGTAATGCAATAAATAGGGCTCTTTCTAAAAGAAGAAGAATATGATTACCAACATGTAGTATTAGTCATTTCTTATAAGCACTATGAAGAGTATGAACTGGTAACAACCATGATTACAATTATCAATCATTTCAATGGAAAAGGCCACATGCATGTCATAAATCATTTGGAAAAATCGATCATGGTCACAACAATAAAGCTCCTATACTTTAGAACTAATCTCTTTTAATAAGGTGATAAAAAGCAGTATACACTACTCCAATCAGAAAGATATAATTGATAGATTCTTCAAGGGATTGATTATTTCGCGGAGAAGGTAATCTCCCATTTTTAACAAGAAATCGATCAAATCATCGAAGGGACAAAATCCTGAAGCAAACACAAACATACTTGGCATAGAAGGCGGCGATTGCAGCAAGGTACATGGAGTGAATCCATTTAGGTGAAGTACTGTGAAATGCAAGGTTCCAAAGTTGAACATGCTTCACCATGAATTTGTACTGTCTTTCCATGTCATTCAATGGCCATCCAGTATATTCTTTCCATACATCCTTTATAATTATCTGTAATTACAGTGTGACAACCATGAGATACAGATTTTATTCTTTAACAAAGATATTATGACAGCAAGATTAAAAATAAAGTAAGGTTATTTTTTATTTGTTTTATTTTTTCTTTATTTAGGGTATTGGACAACTTCATAGAAATTTCTCTCTTACAACATTTATGTAAAAAACAAATAAAGGAAAGTTCATAATTCATCAAAAAGAAGAAAAAATCATTCTGAAAGTACAACCAAAAAGTACCTACAAAATAAAACAATAAAAAGGCCAAAATATTTGTAGGAAATAATCTAAAGTCAGGTGATTTACATGCAGCTATTATATAATTCACCACTTCCATATTTAATTTTTACAGTGGATGCATAAAACATTACAACTTCAGGCATCAAACTAGGATCAAATGTTTATAAATCTCAAATCTAAAGCATAATCAGAATTGCAATTAACCATAAAATTAACACTTTGGAAGCTTAAAGAAAAAATATTTGACCCCAATTAGTAGCACGAAAAACACTTAGCAAGATAATCAACCAAATGACAGCTCAAAAACCCAAGAATCCACCCACAAAATTCAAGGGGACACAGAAAAACTCAGAAATTTTAAAAGAAACCCCGAAAAACCCCAGAAAATGTCAGAGAAACTCATAAAATCCAGCAGAACAATCAACCAAATGACAGCAAAAAAATAACAGAAAGCACCCAAAAAAAATCAAGAAAAAAAATCCCAGAAAAACCAGAACATTTAAGAAAAACCCATTAAAAATCAAAATCAAAGCTTATAAAACATGGAAAAAAAATCCAGAAAAACTCACATTATATTCATCACCAAACTCCAATTTAAAAGTATCTCTAATAGCTTCAGCAGAAGCCCTGTGGCCCCCACCAGTATCACTCATCAAGATCAACACATTCTTTGTACGATAAGCTCCAATTTGAACCATCTCCATTGTTGAGCCATCTTCATCTTCTTCCATTTCATCAATATCCATTGAAGAAGATGAAGAAATCACCGAAGAAGAAGGGTAAAAAGATGAAGAACACCTTTTGCTACTGTAATAACCTCCAACTTTTGAAAATACAGAGCTCAGTGAAGATGATCTTTTTGGTGAAATTACAGACATCACCATGTCAGAAATTAAGTATACCCAAACAAAGAACAATAATTTCTCACAACTTAACTTGATCCAACGGTCGAATTTCTTCCGACCGCCGGAAAATGGGAGTAAAAAAGATGAAATCTTGGAAATTTTTTGATCAAAATTTTGAATTTTGAGCAATACCTAACGTTTAAATTTTTATAAATTTTGTGGGTTTTTGAAAGGTAGTAAAAAAGATTTGTTCTTGGTCCAAATTTGTTGTTTTTGGGCAATTGAATGGTAGAAGAGGGTGAGTTATTTTTAAGGGTGAGTTTGATGCTTGGAATTATTCCAAGAATTTTTATTTTTATAAAGTTGGAATGTTCTGATAAGTAGATTCGGATCTTCCTATTGGTCCATAAACAAACAATAGCCAAGTGTATATTTACTAAAAAAAAAAAAAAAAAAAAAAAAAAAACATTTTCTATTTATTACTCATATTATTTCTTTTTATTTATTTTTTTGTCCTAGAAAATAATTTATGGGGCCACAACCTTAACTATGTTAAATTTTGGTGCGAATAATATGAAGTTTATTCTTTGGTAAGTTTACAAATTGTTTAAGAGATACCAATAGGGCAATAGTACCGCCAACTTTGCCAAGTGGAAATCTTTTTGTTAATTTGTCACTCAATTATTGAACTTGGGTGCTTTGGAAGGAAATTATTGTGTATGCCCTTCAATTCTTATGCTAAATATCCGTTTGTCCATTAGGTTCTTGGGTGAAATATAAGCTAATTTTTGTTGTTCTCTTGCTATTATGTTCTCGAATCTCGAGTGATTTTATTAGTAATTTTTATTGTTTGCTTGCTATATGAGACTAGAAAATGCTCATTTGATCGACTTTATTCAAATGAGTGAAAAATGAATACGTATATGTGTCTGTGTGAAAACACCTAAAAATTAGAGGTATTTAAATACTTTGATCTTGTGGTACTTTTGTGTTATCTATATAACTATATTCATCCCTAAAATTGCCCCTTATTAATTTTGTCACTGTAAAGAACGACCCTTAAGTCATTGGTCCAATAGAAAAATATAAAATGAGAGTACAAAGATCAAAATTTGAAAGAATTATTTATATTTATAATATCTTATAATAATAAGAGTCTTAATTTTATTAAATTTGCAATTGAAGCATTGGTTTCTCTTAAAATGGTGGAGTAAATACAAATAAATCAGTTTTTTTTTTGAAGAAATACAAATAAATTAGTTTGGAAAAGCCTATATCCTATATGCATACCATATAAGAATAAACTAAAAACTGTATGATTGAGAAAAATTAAACATTAATTAAACCGTTTACGCATATCTTTATCATAAATTCTCAAATTACGTACCATTTTAGAAAATGCATTTGACTATTTGATGTTTATGAGCTGCTTATTGCATTACTCAATATGATCTTTGAGGGTAAAGATGTATCCAAAATGCAATTTCAGAAGTATCTAATAACTATTCAAATCCAAAATGTCTACACATAAAACTGTCATTATCAGAATATTAAAGACACTTAAATTAGTGATGTCAAAGCTCAACTATAAAGTTATTCACCCTTAAATCATATTAAGAAACTCCTGAATAAAAGCTATCATTTTCAATTTATTGTACTTGTCAAAATGTTGAGAACGATAACCGGTTATTGACAACATTTTAAAGTTGTTCATTACATTCTAGTGTTCTCTAATCATATTTATTTAAGAAGCCCGGACATAATTAAATTGGAAGCTTTCTAATTAATTTTTTAAATACTTTTATTAATAAGCAACAAAAGATAAAAAGAAGCCGCATTGATCAACCTGATCTGAATTAATAGGAGTCGAAAAATTCATACAAAATGTATGGTATTTTTACGTGTCTCTTGTATGAAGTACGGAGTATGAAATTACAAAATGATGGTGTACAATTTTTAAAATTGTCCTGGACAAGTTGCTTGGCTAACGTCATATAGAATATCTTATGCTAAATTTTGTCATTAAGTGCATCATATTCAACAACTGTACTTGCTCAAATCACTAACTCAACGAGATAATGACTTAATAAGCGTGTCTAACACTCTAACTATTGCGAGTTACGTAGTATAAGGATATTTTACTAGATTTTGATACTAGGATTTATATTTTTATGAAATGCTTGCTTGATTTTTAAAAGAAAAAAATAGTTGACTTTGTTGCTAATGTCATATGATTATGGATTAAGTAGGTTAGGTTCCGTGCCATGCACCGTATTCTTAATAACTATTTTTAACATTAATAATGAATTTTTCTAAAATATTATACGGAGTAATGAATTTATTATAAAAGAGCCTATAATGTTAGTTATTATAAAAGAGTTTATTAGCTAGATATATAGCTATTTTTAAAATACATTTGACAATATGTGTTGTTCATATATTTTTCATCAACAAATTGGTACAATTTTCTTGTTGTTAACCAAATGAATTTCTTAAAAACATTGTACATTGCACTCTGTAGTCCATATGTATGTCACAAATTATGTAAAGAACCTGCTTTTTTCCCCCTTAAATTTATAGTTGTTACTTATTAATATTTATTTGTAGAAGGATACATCGAATCTTTTATATTAACTACTTTTTTAATATTTGAAATTCAAATTACTTTCTTAGAGGTTTTTAACACATAATTAAATAAAAAAATAAAATTATGGTTATAATAGGTAGTACATAACATTCTAGCACAATTATGTTAAAAAACTGATTTAATATTTATTTCTTTTTACTTAATTTTATATTTTTCTCAAAAAAATAAAAAAAAATAGTTGTCAATGTATATATTATGGAAAGACATATCAAATCTTTTATTTATGTATAATTTTGCGATCTTTTTCATTTATGTATAAGATTTGCCAAATATTTTATTTATGTTTATTTTGCTATCTTTTAATTTATGTATAAGATTTGCTTTCTAAAGATTATTTAAAAAAAAAAATTATAATAAGAGACACACCAGAAAATGACACGTGTCATTGTTGGTGTGTCTTTTAGTATATAGTTATTGATAATGAATTTCATCTGATCTTTTTCTCCCAAAAGATAATATATTGATCAATATATATATGATCATCATAATTTAAACTAGGAAGGCCATATATAAGCATTGCACCAATATAGCTAAAGTCGTGAATGTATCTTAATAAACCATAAAAACACGTCTTTGCCATATAATATTCGTAATGCTACGTTTTATTGATCTGAAAAATATATACTCCGTAAATAGACAATCAAGGTATAATATATATAGTACTCGCAAAGTCGAAATATTACTTAATTGCTTATCATAAGCAAAGAGGGTTGAATATAAGTTAGTTAGGGTGAGTGGTTTAGAGTTAAGAGTTGGCTGTTAGACCAAGATTAGACTGGTGTTGGCTGGATCTTCATAAGAAATCATCAATTATTATTTAATTATATTTATATAAGTTGTAATATTTATTTATTTATTTATTATAAGAAATGGCAGTTATTAGTTAATGTAGGCTCCCATGTTATGAATCATCATCACTATCAGCCAGCTCAATAACGGCTATCGATCTTTCTATTATACTGCCTTTTCAATTTGATGTTACTCCTCTTGACCTTTTGTGTATGTTTACTGTTTTGTCATTACTATTACATACTTCGTATATATTGTTATTTCTTTGGTGATGTAAATACAATTGAATATACTGCATTACATATATTGTATGGTCGTATGGAGTAAGGAAAAAAATCAAAATTATAGCAACTTGATAATAGTTCATAATTGTTTTTGAAAAATTTACAATGAGGTTAAAAAAAAGGGGTTTGGGGGTTTGTATAGGAGTGTTCGTTGGATATAAAACTACTGATGAGAGAAAAAGTATTACAATTTTTTATTTTTTTTAAATGTAGGTAGAAATAAGTTAAAAAATACTAGCTAAATGTTAGTTCTTTCAGTAGCTTGAAAGTTACGAAGTATAATTTAACGAAATGGCCAAAGAATTGGCGTACTACCAATTGTTCCAAGTCTCTAAACAACTCTCAATAAGGCAATGAACATTGTATATCTCGTTTTGCATTAACAAGCATACATGCGCGTATTCACGCGCGTATACATTGCTAATAGTACCTATGTAGGAGTAAGTGATATATTTGGTCGTTACTCGTTAGGAAGGTTAGCTAAAGAAATTAAAATCATCAAAAACCAGTTCCAACTTCCAAGTCCAACATCCAACTAATATTCAACTTCAGCCCTACTTACATGGCCACGTTGAAAGGTAAGTCCAAGTTTATTGAATTATTATTTATAATAACATGCACATGAATGCAACACTAACCCTCCTTGGCTTAGGTGGTTAAGGATACACTATCTAAAACCCCAGGTCATGGGTTCCTAGGGTTGGTGGAGAGAGAGAAAAAATATGGGATTGAATATTCAATCGAGGTATTTCAAAATACCTTTTTTTCTTAAATATTACGTAGTACTTCCTCGGTTAAAGGAGGGGTAAGTATATAATAGAGCAAAATAACTAGATTGGTTTTGTTTTCTTTTTTTTTTTTTTTTTTTTTTTTTTAATAATGTTTTTTTTTTTTAATTCAAATGAGGCTAAAGCCAAGGATCAAACAAGCAAAAATGCAAAATAACTAGATTGTAGTAAAGAAAAATTGCAGTTCCGTTTAGTGATTATCACAAATCTTACAAATTCCATTGCAAAGTCCTCCCTCGATAGTAGCTTGTTCCTAATTCTGCAATTAACTAGCATATTAGATATTACATACATGGTAAAGAAATGGCGCTATTAACTAGCATATTCTACCACAGCACCTGAACATAGCAATTTCTTCTTCCTAATTCTGCAACAAGTTCTGTTGAAATAAAAGCCTACGACTAAGGGGTCAGGTAACAGTATTCTAAGCCGTTAACTAAACAGCCGCCATTCACAAATCCATAACCTTGCAAGTTAAGTGCATTAAATCTATCTACATTATGATGTTTAATGTTAACAAACCTAGAAATTTTTCCCTGATTCAAGTAACCTCGGCCTTTGGGACAAAACCTGAGCATAATGGACAAGGAGGGTCTCTTATATCCTCAAGGCATGTTCTCTGCTCTAAGCAATCAGCATGAAAAATATGCCCACAAACTAAAATTGCAACAATTGATAGCTCTTCCGAGGCAGTAATTCCAAATTGATGAGGCTTCCGTCTTAATGATTTCTGGCATAACCCACAAGCCTTCTTCACTCCTTCGGATGAAAGTGCACGAATGACCGAGCTGCTAGACCTAATTCTTTCTGGCCGCCAGAAGGCCCTTTCCCTAAACTCTGTAAAATCTTCATTTAAAATGAACAAATAAAAAAAAAGTAAGAATTTGTGTTCAGCAATGGAGAAATTGGCTAAGCACTAACATATTTAGTAACAGCTAAGAAAAGTGTAGCACAATAACAGATAGAAAGGTTGATCGTATTATGAAAGACCAAACTACTTTCGCTAATATCAGCAATTAAAGTTTAGGGTTAGATACTTGTTCAATAGTCGAGCAGACCTATGGGATTTAAAAATGACCTCTAAATTAACGAATAGCCCCAGAAAGCTTAAGCTTCTACACACAAAAATTTCTCCTTTGTCTCATAATCAACGTTATGACTATGCATATATGCACGTGTAGCGATCATCAATATTAAGTAATAAATCCAACTCATTAGTCTAGTAACAAGGCCATCTTGAAACTTGCATGTCGTCATGTATCTTTTCCCCACTTCAACAAGGCATTAGTCTAGTATCTAGGCCATCTTGTAACTTGCATGTTGTCATGTATCTTTTCCCCCTTCACCAAGGCATTGAAGTAATCATTAGATTTAAAGATAACGATCTCCTTCAATAAACCTCCCGTATTTCTGATTATACCTGTGCCTTCAAGTATCATAGCCAATAAGGTTTTAGCTTAGTACTTTAACACTGACATACTGGGAATATTAGGTCCCGAGGTCAAATTCATTTCTGATGTTGTATTGGAGGTGTGATGTTTTACTAGCTATAAAATTCCAGTGAGCCACCCCCAAAAAAAGTTCTAATAAGAAATGAGACAGATAGTAGTGCACTGATCTTCCCAATCTGACACTCCCTACTTATGTAACACGGGTACTTCACTTGATAGTTGTCCCTGTACCCAATAAGCTCTAGTACGGGCGATATTCAATTACTTTACTTAATAGTGTGCCGCCGTAGGTACCCACTGTTTTATAATTTTTAGAATTGCAGTTTTCCATCCCATTCTCCCTTTGACCCAACCCCAACTCCGTGCAACCGTTTCCCCACAACATGTAGGATCTTTTCGTGGGATGAGCATTTGAGAATAAACCTCAAAAGTGCAACATAGCCTATTCCCTGGATCTAACAATGAACTTTTATCTTGCTATAAGTAGCCAGCAAATTGAATGCTAAACATATATGAGGAACAAGGAATCAAGCATTCAAGCCCCTTGAAATGTAATGCGCGTACTCATAATATGGCTTATAACACCAGCATCTAGTCCTCATAAATCCACGCTATATTCTTTACCTCCTCCAAGAATTACAGATCATAAGGAAGAGATGGCATGAGATAAAAGAAGAGGAGAGAAGGAAACCTGCATGATGTCCAAAATCAGAATTGTATTTACTACCCAGCTTAAAACATAATCGCTCATCGTGAAATGGGCTACCCTTGCCGTAAGAAGCCGAGGGCTTATGGTAATTGGATGAGTTTCGACGAGAATACTGGTTTCCATAGTGGTGACGTGAGCGCTTCAACAACATTGAGCGGCTCAGATTGTGATGATGATGTTGACCAAGGGCAAGTTGAGAGATTGGTTGCTTTCCATGACTATCCATAATTTCCTTAACAGAAGAATGAGGCTTCAACATACCACTGTTTTCTGGATCAGAAGCATTCTGCTACACAAGTAAACAACAGAAGCCCTTCGATCAGGAAGAAACAATAAAAGAGTTGTAGCACAGTAAATTGAAAGCATAAAATAAATAAAAGCTCACTTCAAATCAAATTCCGGGATTTAAAGCATAATTAGAATTGCAATTAACCATAAAATTAACAGTTTAGTGGAAATTTTCTAAGAAAACATCTACATGTAACATTAACTATCTATTATAGACCCTGCCGGGCGACAGGATCTGAACATGCAGCTTCAGTATTTTCCTATTCCATGAAACAAACTAATACAAGAGAGGAGACTATCTCTGTAAGATCCACTAGGGAACATTTTAAATAGGGAAACAGTAAAAATAGGGTAGACAAACATTTTCAGTGCAAAAATAAGGAAAAGATATTGATACACAAACACAAAGCATTAATGATATAATGAAGAGATAGAGATATAAGGTAGAGCCGTAGAGATAGTAAATGGCACTATGGCAGTGATGCAACTAATGACAATAGACATACACAAGAAAGGGGGAAATGTGAAAAACCTAGGGAATGGTTTTTTTTTTAGACAATGGAAACTCAGCTTTAGCAATGGGCTTTGGGCCTTTAATTTCTATCTTTAACCAGATCTGAACATGGATGAAATTAATAAGAGTGTAGTACGGAGATTAATTGGTTGAAAGGGTCTCAGCCTACAGTGATCTGAACTGTTACCAGGTTCAATTATGCCTATGTTTGATACATCCAAAGAATTGATTTAAAGCATGCCTATGTTTAATATTGGTAGAAGACCTTCAAAATTCCTTATACGTCTTTAGTAGCTTGTGTTTAGCAGCTTTGGGAGCTTTATCAGTAGCATAGTAGCATTGTAAAAAGGCAGTTGATTCAATAACCAAAGATGAATAACATAATAGTAAAAAGCAGTACTAGTAGCAATAGCAATTCTAGGGAGAAGACAAACCTCCCCAAGTGTCAGATCCCTTCCTGATGAACATGGCATGGAATCTGTAATATAAGAAGTTAAGATGACCATTAGTAACACAACCAAAAGCAATTCATCTCAATTTGAGCTCCCCATTCAAAGTGCTTGTCAATGTTTGTCAAATGATTAATTCAATGAAAATGATTATTATAATATTTAGCATCAAAAAAACATAGGAATATGGTGTACTCGACATGCATTGAGAAGGTCTTATCTCAGGATTCAGCTGATAATATCACGTCTTTATCTTTACCTAGTGTCAGTGAAACTATAGCAGAAAAACTACAGAAAATCTTAGTGTTTCTCAGCAGTCAGCACTAAAATGATCATCTAACTGAGGATGAAGGACCTTTAGCCTGATTTGACAGATTCATCTTCTTCATCATAAAGTGTGATGAAGGACCTTTAGCCTTAATTATACTACGTAATTGACCAACTATTATGGCTCTTTAAGTCCACTGCTAACACCCTTGCCTGAAAATCCTAACAATTCGACAATTGTTCCAATCTGGAATATGGTGCCAACGCATCCATGTGTCTAGAAAACCAAATCAGTAAATTTCCTTAAAATTTGGCATACTTTGGCGTAGAAATCCTGCAGTTTATATCCTTGTTCTATAATCATAATAAGTTGAGAAAACATAGCTTCAAACTTAATCAGGGCAATAGGCACCAATGTCTAACACAGGCATGTGTAAATAGCGGTCCAATTCCGTCAAGTTCTTCATACTTTGACAGTCCAAAACGTCTAGGATAATAAAACTTACAACCATTTGTGATAATCCTGGCCAACTGACAAAGTGTATCTTCGATTTGGACAAGAGCAGCAACGTCCAATACAAGCATATGTCTAAAAATCTAACTCGGACAGTCTCCACAAATTTGATCTACATAGATGTGTCCAGGATTCAAGATATACACATGTCCTGGTGAATATCCAACTAAAATGCAGCTCCAATTCGAGCACCAAAGCACAACTTAGGCGTGTTTCTAGGGATCCAACACTGCCCATTTTCTAAAATTTGTCCGAATTTGATATATTGATCAGTCATATTCATACCCCATTACCTCATGTTCCACAATATTGACTGTTAAGCAAAGTAAAACAACGATTTATACTCCATTACCTCATGTTCCACAATATTGACTGTTAAACGAAGTAAAACTACGGTTTGGCATTTCACCAATTGACATCATAAATTCTTCAAGAAAACATCTTTTGAACACTTCAATAACTTATTTAACCAGCTAATTATAGATCCACGTATAAAGCTATCACCCCTTCATACTAATATCTGTATCCAACTTAACCCCAATTCTTAGAAAACAAGATCGAAACTTTGATCAAATAAATCTCATCAAAAAGCAAACAAATTAAATCACAGGAATATATACCATCTAAAATTCTAAATGACCAATTTTAGCAGAGTAAAAGTACAAAATTACACTGAAAGCACACGCCATTTTAACCTAAATTCAAGAAATTAGCACAAAATTCTCAAAATCTAAACAAAACCCATGATCTTTACCATCAAATTATTAGATGGGTCGGCCATCATTTTCCACATTTTCACATTTCAATCAAACCCCATCACTAAATTACATGAACTAGCAACATCCCACCAAAAACACTTGCACAATTTGAAAAATTAACAAAAAAAAAGTACAATTAAAAAATTGAGAGAAAGGGAAAACCTGAAGGAGAAGGATGATGGTAAAGAGCAGCAGATGATCCTGTTCGCTTTCTTTTTCCCATAATTAACCGGTAATTTTGGATTAAAAAAGATTTTTAGCGGCTGAAAATGAGTAACTTCGCCAATTAATCACCAAAAAAAAAAAAAAAACTATTTTGCTGCTCAAATTATCTGAATGGCTAGAGTTTGGGTCGAAGAAAATAGAGGACAGGTAGAAAAAGGGAATAAATAGCGGAGAAAGATGATGTAAAATTATGATCATCAATTTCTTCAATTGTTCATGGGAAGTCAATTGAAGACACGTGTTGTTTTATCTTTATGTTGGGAATCTCATAGCTTCTTCCTGATAGTTTGCTTTGCTTTGATATTTTTCACGATCAATGTTTCTCCGTCTAAAATATCTAATGGAGTTTTCGAATAGATACCGAGTAGTATATCACTTTAAATCGAACACTCGAAGTTTGTTAACTCCCTCTATATCTGAATGAGTGGGTCATTTTGACTGACACACAAGTCATCCATACATAATCTATAAAATTTACGGAGTAATTATTTATTAGCAAAATTAATTAAGTGTTGATATTATAAACATATATATTGTGACTAATCTAATAAAATATATGTACTTGTATAAATTCAAGTCAAAATTGATATGTAATAGTGTAATAGTTAAACTGATAAATTTATTCAAATACCAAGAGAGTACTGTATGTTTTACTTCCTCCTTAAAAATACCCGTAATTGCAATATTTGGACTTTTGGGATCTTACTAATCATATTGTAATTTCACACAAAATATTTAACGGCATAAAAATTTAGAAAGAGATTAACTTCTATTATTCTAATTGCATAAAATAACTAAATATTTAATACAACCTTGACAACTTTAAAACCAAAAAAAAAAAAAAAAAAAAAAAAAAGAGTAAAAAAACACTCCTTATTTTCATAATCTCCCTCCGATGGATCATAATCCAAATCTGAATCCACATGATAACCATGGCATGATGAGCTTGAGGGAGTATAGTACGAGCTTTCAGATGGAGAGCTTGGGGTATAACCTAGGTTAGCTTGTCCAAGGATTTGGCTAATTGAAGGTTACTCTACCACTTTTGGTTAGGCTCCTTATGCTTTGGGGTAGTGGTAGTATATTCAGGATTACGCTAATTGAAGTATAATCATTACTATTAACAATCGATCAAGTGAGCATATTTACCACTTCCTAGAACTTTGAACACACACTCGTACAATTTATGTGGTAGACTCTTTATTTTTCTCCCTCCATCCTTAATTACTCACAATGTTTAGACTTTTTGCACTATTCACACATCTTACTTTGACCATCTTTTTTAGCTATTATATGAAAGCCAATGTAGTTATGTAAGATGTTGTCGGTTCTATTTTAATGTATAGTCTCTTAATATAAACTTTTTATAAATATATAATAAAAGATATCGACGGTTAAATATGTGCATCGACAAGCGTGTCTAGTCAAATTGTTGCAAATAAAGTGAAACATAGGGACTATTTATTTAGAGAATAGTGCACCAATGCACTACATCAAATCAAATTACATGTACAAACCATTGACACTAACCAATTCAACCAAACTACACCGCTCAACTCCTCTTAGCCTAGCCCACTCGACTCGAAAATACTTGCAAAAAAAAAAAAAAAACCTCATCGAGCCTTCTCGAACCCAAAATCCATCATAACCCTACCATTTTTTTTTATTTTTTAATTTTTTTTGCCATAATTCAAGTCGATTAACACACCCAAAAAGAGCTAACCATAAGCAGAGTTCATCAATATCTGAAGATGTTCAGAAAAGCAATTGCCGCCGGCGCCGGCGTTCACCAACCATGGCGCACGATTTCGCGAAATTCCTCCGTCGTCTCCTCCGCCGTCAACTCCGTCTTACTCCGCTCACTCAAAGACCACTACCTTGAAGTCTCCAAGATGGCCCCACCTCCGGTAAAAATTCTTAATTTTTGTTAAACCTAATTTTGTTAAACCCTTATTTATTTGTTTTTTCAATAATTCAACTGATTGTTTTTGCAGAAAGTTAGCCCACCTGCTGATTTTACGATTATGAAGGGGGCATTGGATTCTAATGGTCCAGTGCTAAAGAGGAATTACAAAAATGAGGAAATTAGCATTTCTGTAATGAGATTAGCTAATTTTGTTACTGAGGAAGATGAAAATGATGATGATGATGGTGGGATTAATCAATTATTTGTTCATGTTGATGTTTCGAAACCTGGGATGAGTGATTCTATGCATTTTCTTTGTGGGTTGTACCCGGATGCTGTGGGGATTCACTCTGTTGCTCTTAGACCTAAGACTACTGAGGAGGGGTTCCTTATGATTCCTAACAAATACACCGGCCCGCTTTTCGAGTTCGTTTCTTGTCTCTCTTTTAATTGATTGTTTGTTTGCTTGTTTGTTCATTATCAAACTATTATTGTGTATTTGTTGGTTACTTGGTAGTGTTTGTTTATTCAATGATTTTGATATAGTTGTAATGGGGTTTTAAAGGTTTATGTAGCTTCAAGGTGCTAAGAAATTTTGCTCATTTTTGCCCGGTTGTGTTCATGTCAATTTAATTCCATGAGATTGTGGGGGGTTTTGATGAGTGAATGATAGGTAAGGTACATTGTAAATGGTGAATCTTTTTTACTTACGAAGCTAACATTGAAGATGTTTGGGGTGAATAGGAACATTTCGTGTGGTTTCTAAACATAGATTAATGAAGTGATGTGAGGTGGGGTGAAATAGTGGATTGCTTGGATTTTGGAAGTAGAGATGGATCAATGTATATGCTTTCTTGATTGGTTGTCCTCTAGTGAAGTGGAGTAGCCAAGGTCAATGATATAGGTTAGAATCCTTAACGTCAAGTATATGAAGGATTTCTGCTATTGATGAAATTGGCTTTGGTATAAATTTTGAATGATTAGTATTGTAAAACTACTAGCTGGATGTAGTGATTATATGGCAATGATGTATCAACTGAGGTGCAAAGATTATAACTTTATAAGCAACTTGACACCAAGAAGGCTGTTGTAGTTCACTTGCAATTAGATCATAGAAATATTTGAAGATTAGACTTTTGGCACACATCACATATGTTCTTACTCTGTCAGCTTGTCTAATAGTGTATTCTCCTAATTAAGCATCTGTACTGCCTTTCATCTGCTATGCAAGATCTTTCCCCACTACAGAATGTTTCAGTTTAGGATAGGGGTGCATTGGCCACTCATTGAATAAAGATTATTGTTTTTGTTGATTGTTCTGTCGTTTCCTAATTGCCTGCTCTAATTTTGGATGGATTGTTGTTTAAATCTTGATCTTGAATCAAACAGTTGAAATATTTACCTTCTATGCCTCTATGATCCTTAAAAACAATTCTATTTCCATACCCAGCCTTGTACACAAATAGATGTCTATTGTTTATCCATGGACTTGTAGTTGTGGCATCTAGAGCATGTTTGATGACATAGATATAATCAGCAATAGGGCACACCTTGGCAAACTTCAATCTGATATACTGCTCAACTTAGTCAACTTTTTATTTAGAGCAATAGATTTCAAATCTAAGCCAACCTGCAGAGCACGTTGATTAGTCATTGATATAATCAGCATTAGGGCATACATTGGCAAGCAATAACCTGATACACTAGGGTCTCACTCTGTTCTTACCGATGTCTCTTCTGCTATTTTCTTCTGTTCATTCCCCTACAGAAAATATTTAATCTACCCAAAGTTGATATACTTCGTATTAGGTAGTACAACTAATAAAGATATGCCGGGAACACCAACTTTGAGAACTAATGGAACGGAAGGGGGAAATTTGCAATAGAAGAAAAGTTTTCAAATGGAAAATTATTTTGATTATTTTCACTGTAACTTCCAAGTAGTTTTATGGGACTGCTGCTGAGAACAACTCATTTATAAATTTATGTATCGTACCCCTTGTGAGTCTTTGCGCAAAATTTTTTGGTTTAATTATTATTTTTCTTATTTAAAAAAAGTTTTTTTACTTTTCATGATTTCACACAGCTTTAAAATTTTATCTTTAACTAATTAATTGGAGGAAGAATATCAAATTATCACTCATTTTGATTATTTGATGAATTTTTTGGTAAGGAAAATTAGTTGTCAGGATTACCTTATAGTTGAAATTTGGAATTGGGGAGAGTTGGATCATTTCTACAGATTATTTATAGTTGATTATTATTTGCTTGAACAATTAAATTAGATATTGGATTCTTGTTCTTTTTGTTACAATTCTATCCGTAAATGTTTAATTTTGAGTTTTTGACACCTTTTGATCATGTACTTTTATTTATGCTTGATGGAAGTCCTGTTTTGTGCCATGCCCATGACAAATTTCCTGTATTGATGTAGCATCAATGCTTGTTAAGACACAAAATGCACATACTTGTCGACATTTGATATTGACATGGAGCTTTTTGGCTTATATCTTAGATTTATTGAAGTATTATTTCTTTTTTGAGGGGTTATATAGGTGTTAGTTTCAGATTGGGAGTCATTCAAGAAATGGTCATTTGATTAGGATAAATGGATGATTGATCAGTTGATCACAGAGTCACAAGTTTTGTACTTTTATTTTCATCTACTATCTTATCAATTTGAATTCTGGTCTAGATGTGTTAGTAATTGAGTTTTTTGTTGATAGAGATTTCTTGTTTTCTCTTATGAGCTGATTTTAAGGAAGATTCGTATGTTTCAAACTGGTATGAAGCTCACAATATGGAAGATAATTTTTGTATAACAGATATTTGGGTACTTAAGAGTCTACCTTGGTTTTTGACCAGGCGCATATTTTTTTGCAGCTTATTTGATAATGTTTTGTTTATTTGACTATGTAAGGTTATAGCTTATTAGCAAATATTTTTGAAATGGTGAACAGATTTGTTTTCCTGAAATTTATAATAAACTTGGATGTCCTTTTTATTGATAGAAATCTTGATGAAGCAACAAGAGATGCCTTTCACAATTATATAGAGGAACGTGGCATAAATGAGAGTCTTTTTCCTTTCCTTCAAGCATGGTTATATGTAAAGGATCATCGGAATCTTATGCGCTGGTTCAGGTCAGTTGGCCTTTTTGTTAATGGACGTGAGATGGACAAAGGAACAGATGAGGCAGCTGCTAGTGCTAGTAAATCCAATGCTACTAAAGGTGCTTAATAGTCTTTGCAACATTTAGGCTATTATATATAATTGCCAATTTGGTGGGACATCAGATATGTACCTGTTTTGAGCTTAGTTAACAAGTGAACCGGTTAATGCATATCTACAGTTGCTTCATGCTCTTCAGTTTTGCGCAGTTGAGGAAAAACTTCGTGGTTGCAGGCTTATACTTATTTCAACAGTTTATATTAATCTATGATTCACTTAATATAGATGATGCTCTTTCTGCAATTGTCGAGTAGTCATACAATTTCAATGGCCTTCGTCACTGACCAATATCTCTGGTTCTAAGGTTTCGTGTAGTAAACAACTCATTGTGTTGCACTTTCTGCATAGCTTTTTTCTTCATATTCTGATCAGGAAAATGTTTTCGCCTTTCGTCAGCTTCTTTCCAGGTATCAGATGGTATGTTTTCTGGACAACTTTTTTCCAAATTCCTTGTGCCAACAAAGAGCTATGGAATATCACAGAAAATGTTCTTGCATTTTTTTCTTATGACATTAATATCTATCAATGCTTGACAATACGAGTAATTGACATGGCAACACAATGTACAAGCACTTTTATTTTGATTTTTCGGGCTTATATTCTAGAATAAAATATAAGTTGATATATGCCATTACTTTAGATTTTTCTATGATCATGATATACGGAACCCTAATGAATAATGATTGTGTACTAGTATTACTCCGTAATATGCTTCCTTCGTTTCAAAAAAATTGCAACACTTTTAGACCAAAAATTATAAGAGCTTTTTGTGCAAAGTGTTGCAATTTTTATATTTCCTAGATTAGTGTTAGTTTAAAATTATGTGACTAAATTACACATTAATTGTTATTGTACGTTCAATTAATGTTAATACTTCGACGTTTTCAATTACAGTCATACTATACTACGTACTTTTACGTTTTATTCTATGGAATATCATAAGTTTACCCTTTTATATTCTTTATCTTGATATTATATCACATCACTAATGTCTTTAAAACGTAGCCGTTCATTTTATTTTTAAAAACAAAAATATTTGACATTTATGAGCAATAGTATTATACAAAGTACGAAGTTCATGAATCACATGAACTATAATTCTATGAAACCCCTTTTTTTTTATATATATATATATATTTTGGCCCACACCACCTTTTAAAAATGTGAAATGATGTTGGCCAATATTCGGCCTTAGCTTGTCATTTACGGATAATGATAGTTGATTAATGTGTTGCTTTAAAGAGTTGATGATGAGTGATAAACTCATCTTATAGATAAATAAAAAGATAAAGTTGATCACTCTTAAAAAATTTGTGTGGATTTAACTCTTTAGCAATGATATAGGTTTCCTCTACTGTCTTTATTGCATGTATATTTTACTACTCGTAGTTGATATCCAAACTTGTCTAGTGTTTTTGTTTAAGAGGGTGGGGGATATGGATGATCCACTGATCCCCTCCGGCTACCGGTGTTAGCAATCTGTCCGGTCTTGCAGACTGAAAGGGGGCCGGGTGCGAAAGGCTAGGGGAGAGAAATTGACGAGATAAAGAAAGAGAAAGTAAAAGTATTTTAGTAACACTGCTACTTATCTCAATCTATCTTAATACAAAAATAATTTATGCATTGACAATCATGAAAAGAAAATATTGCAACTAAAAAGAAGCAGAGGAAGTATGTCAGAAAATTTGCACTATATGGTCATAACTATAAAAAGGTGAAAATGGGTTATTTTTGTTGTTAAGTATTGGATATAAATATCATATATGTATTATTTTTCAAATTATGTTACTCTAGATCAAGCAAAGCACTGCCCCAAAAGTTGATTTTGGTGATTTGGTAAAGCACCATCAAAATTTATTTATTTATTTATTTATTTATTTTGACAAAAGAGCTAAAAAAAGAAAGAATTGGAACTTAAAATACAACAATTGCCTACGCCGAGCACAACTAGCCAGCCAGTGAGCTAGAGCCACCCAAGCCCGTGGAACTTTACGAACTTGACACACCAACAGGTACTGTACAGGCACCCGTAATTCCTAAATGAGCCACCAAACCGAGATGTCCATAGAACCTGAAACAGGAAGGAAAATAAAGGGGCAGCACAATCAGTATGAATCCGGATCTTCAAGATCCCTTACGAACAGCAAACTAAAGACCACACAAACAGACCTGTAACTCATAATGTAATGTCGAACTCGTCATAAAAGCCCAACTCCCACCACCCAGGACCTCCGAAGAACACATGTCACGAATAACCCAACCAGCCCCAGCCCTAAAAGTGGAACAGTCCCAAGCCCTGTCCACAATCAAACAAGCCATCGAGGGAATACTAGGTAACCCCTACAAGCAAAGCCATGGAACATCCGACAATACCGGTAAACGAGCCAAGCAGGACCCTAACGAGGAATTCCTCAATTCATGAGCCTGAACACAACAATGAAAGCGGAAAAGCGTCATGCAACAACTTCCAACCTAGGTTAGTTAACCTCCAAAACTTTCGTCACCAGGCTGGAGTCAAACGACACCCTGAGTCAGGAGTGACTCTAGACTGACACTGAAGGGCATAAGCTGATTTCGTAGAGAAAACACCATCGCTAGTGAACTTCCAATAGACAAAATCATCCATTAGCCGCTCCGGACGATCCAACTAAAGAATCCTAGCAGCAGATAAAGAGTCAAACAGACCGTGAACAATCGAAGCATCCCACGCGTACGAACACGGATCAAGTAAAGAAGACACAAGAGTCGGTTTGGTTATAAACTAGGACACATGGACTCTTCATCCAACTGTCGTGTCCGTGTCAAACACCGACACTCGTGGGACACACGACGATACGTCTCGGATCGTATCCTATTATGATATGGACTGTTTAACTTTTTTTTAATGAGAAAATTTAAGTAAAGTAAGATAAATAAGGTAATTGTTAAATAATATGGGTGCCTTCATATATAGTTCATTGTTAATATGATACAATATGATCTAATGAGAGGACGGAATGACAAATATATGGTCAAATTTTTTTCTAAAAAATATATTATATGAATTTTAACATCCCGTATCCGTGTCCCTTATTTTGAGATAGACGTTTTTCCGTAACCGTTTCATACCCGTATCCGTGTCAGTACCCGTTCTTATGCAACCTAGGTTATAAATGTAACTTGGTTAGCCTTAGGCTTGAGAAATTTTTTATGTATTTAGAGTTAATCCAAGTCTTTTAACATTTTCCCGTTTCACAATATAAGTCGTTTTTTTGATGATCCAGTGAGCAAATTCCTTTTTTATCCCCCTGTTTAAATTGTCATTGTTTAAGGCAAAATATAACATGGACAGTGCCTACTGGCTACTATGTTACAAACATGTAGATCATACACAAGGAAATCTTTTTTTGTGAATCAACCATTAGATAATACAAAAATAATACTCATATTATAATACCTGACCATGTCTCATCATTTTCCTCTTGCAATATACAAATGAGTAATATTCATAATTAATAATAACTGTATCACTGAATTATTCTCACATGTGCTAATAATGGACAAGATTCACCGGGAAGCAATAGATTTTTAACGGATATTTAAATATAAATAATGTAAGTTGAATTTGTATATAATAAACAAAAAAAGGATCAATATACTATGATCCTATCACAACATTTCACTAAGATTAATGGATCTTTCAAATAAGGACAGAATTGGAGCCAAAGTGACATAAAGTAATTTTTTTTAAAATAAAAATAAAATTGTAAACTTATGTTCCAACACTTTAACGATTAAAAAAAACCACCGCACTTAATAATATTTGAATCCACTTAACAATATCTTTAGCTCTATTACTGTCTTTAAGGACTAAATTTTTTTAATAAGAGTACAATGATTTGTGATATTATTGACCAATGACTTATTAAGACCATATCCAGGAATCGAAGATGATAAAGCCGTAAGAGGAAAGAAAACCTCGTTTCTAAACGAAGATAACAAGGATCATATCGAACACTACCTATTATAAGATGTGAGAAATGATAAGCCGAGTAGTGATTTCCACTCTTTTCCTAGATCAATTAAGGTGCAAACTAATTGGTACCATAATAAATTTTGTACAAATACAACACAAGGACAAAAACATTAAAATGGTGAGAGAAAAAGTATCATAGGAGTAAGTAAGAAGCCAAAATAACGACAGGTTGTTTATGAAAGGGAAAAGTAGAAGGGTGATGGCCTAAGGCAAATAACCCAAATTGAGTGGAAATGAATTTTGGCCAGATTTTGCAAATTAATTTACATAATTTGTGATTGATCTATTTTGCCAAACAATCCAACCTGGCTTACGTAGGGACAAATATTCAATTAGCTAAAATACAAATACCCCACAACTAAATTCAGTTATATTGGGACAACTTTTTTCTTAAAAAAAATATTCCTGACCAATCGAGCAATTTTTTACTGACCGAGTTTTCTGACCGATCGAGTAACCCCTGACCAAGGTAATTCTTGACCGAGTAAGTAACCCCTAACCAAGTAACCCCGACCATACGGCCAGCCACATATAAAACTTTATTATTATTATTATTATTATTATTATTAATTTGGTGAAACAATTGATTATTTTTAGGTCATGTGTTAGACAAGGATCTAAAAGTGGACCTTATTGGTGAGTAAACTAGGTGAGAAATTAGCTATCCCATGCATCTACAATTTAGGCAAGTGATCTTGATAGTTGATATCAAATCTGATTAGCAAGGAGATCCAAGGTTCTTAATTATTATTTGAAATTATTGACATTAATTTATTTAATTGGTTGGTGTCTAGAAAATTGTTTAATAGGATCTATATATATCTCTACTCATCATAGACGATATATTGATTACAAATTAGTAGTGTTGATTTCTAGCTTTATGATCTTGAATGTGATGGACTTATAAAGGTTAAGTAATGAGACTGTGTGTTTCACAATTAAATAATTACGAAGTAATATAAAATGAGATTGAATTGAAGGGGTAATAATATAATTGCATCCATTTAAGATTGATTAACATTTTTATAAAATTGTGTCAAAATAATTTGAAAATAATTAATGTTGTTTAAAGTTTGGTTCTGTAATCCAAATATTTCTATGAAATTGTGTAAAAAAAAAAACGCCTTTTTGAAGCATAAGGAGTATATATATTACAGTTTTCTATGTTAAAAACAATAAAACATGTTACTTCTTAATTTATACAAAAACCTATATATTACGTATCCATATTATTTGATAGACAATATTGATGTTTGATTATTGCTTCAACAATTTGGACAACCGAACAATGAGAATTAAGAATACATATATATATATACACAAAATTAGTGCTAATTAATTAGTGGTTTTAAAGGGTAATTGGTTAGAATAAAGTGTGAATTGACACTTGCGAATTCAATGGAGAATAAGTGAGAAATAAGCTGTATAAGAGTTTAATTAAGTTCACACTTCAACTTCATTGGTATTTAGTAGATAAAACGATAGGGAATAAAGACGAATGAGAAAAGTGCATATTACTCATGTTAGCATATTCTTTTTTCTTAAGAGTTTAGTGGGTCCTTGTTTAAATTAGTTAAACAGTTAGAGTGGCTGAGTAGGTCTTAAGTCCTAAGAAG